AAACGCCGACGCCGAGGAGGTGGCCAGTGGGCAACCACTCCATAGTAGTGTCCCTGTTTCTGGTTGGTCAGTGTCTGGAGACCTGGTTAAAATAGAGTTAGAGTAACAAGTATGACCTCTGCCCCACCCCCTCCACCACCACACTTGATACTCAGTAACTGTGCACGTGTGAATGAATACATGAATGGACAGTGAGGAACAGGGAAAGAAGCTCATAGCTCCAATACCTTTCCTGTGACCTCAGTTCTACAAGCCAGACCCTACCTAGGGCATCCAACAGACAGGCTTCCCGTGTGTACGCCTCCACAGCCACCACATGCTGGAAGCAGTGCAGAGAGATGATGCCCCGGCAGTTATCCCAGATTTCTAAGATCCGGCGGACCTTGGGACAGACCTGTGGGGTATGGGAGGATCACAGCTAGAATCCTAAGCCACCTTTCCTTCCAGGCCTGGAGGGTAGCTGACACATCTCAACCCCACCTGTTTCCTTGGCTGGTCATGGTAGCGAAGGGCTTCCCAGAGGTGGGCATGTGGCCGGGCACGGGTCCCCTTGCCCACATAGAAGATGGCTCGCACGAAGCATTGCAGACACTCAGCCAGTGTGAGGGAAGAGGACCGGGCAGGCAGGTCCTCCGTCAGCCTGCAGTATAGAGTGTGGCTCAAGGATGGTGGCATTGGCTGCCACTCAGATCACCTGAGTTCTATCCCTGAGACCCACATGACAGAAGAGAACCGACTTCCACAAGTTGTCCTCTGACCTCCATATAGCACCACAGTGTGTACTCATGCATGCGGTCACATGCACGGAAAATACAGTGTGAAAGGAGGGAAAATGGCCACCACACCCACATCCAGGACACTCTGTTTTATAAGCCATAAAATGGGTACTCACAGCTAGAACTGACCTGTGACACCATTTCTGGAGGAGGCAGTAAACAGAGGGCTAACCCAAAAGGGCTAACCCCTTCCCTAGGTACACACAGTGAATCAAAAACAAATTCCCACTGTCTGTTTGGAGTTTTTTGTTTTGTTGTTTTGCGTTTGATGTTCCGACCCTGACCTGATCACAGTCTGATCTTATAAACCAAGATATGGAGTCAGAGACCATCAGCAAGGTTAGCCCGTCCCCACCCAACCAGGACGGAGCTTACAGAGCTTTGCCCTACAGTCACCCTCTAATCTCAGCCCCGGCTTTCCTGTCACCGCACCTGGGGTCGAGAAGTAGATACGTAAAACTAGACTTTGCAATGCCTTCCCGCCACTTCCTCGAGGGATCCGGCCGCTGAAAGTGCTGAGCCAGGGCTGCCTCATCCACCTGGCAGTCAGGGATGGCGCCTGTCCTTAGCGCCTCCGCCAGTTCTGGGCTATGCCCTGCATCAGCTGGGGAGGGGACTGGGTCAGGGCCAAGAACAAAGGCTGGTGAGGGGTGTGAGTCTGACAGCCAGGGCCTCAGAATTCCGGGAGCATAGTCAGACTCCGAATACCACTACCCAAGGACTCACCAGGGCTAGCCTGGGCTTCCTGCAGCCACCGCAGGTAGTGTCCTCGGGTGAAAGGCGTGACGGGTCCAGGGCTATAGCCCAGTGCCCGCAGGGCCTGGAGGAGCTGCAGGTCAGACATGGCGGGTACCTAGCCACGGGGACGCAAAGCTCCCAGATCCCCACCACCAGGCAGTAAGGGTTTGTCTGTGGCCCTTGTGGTCAGTGTCATGGCCTGTGGCTGGCAATTGGGTGCCCCCTTCCCAGCTGGCACGGCCCCACGGGTTACCCGCAGGCCGGCCACAAGCTCCAGTGTCCCCCCAGAGTGCCTGGGCTCCAGAGAGTCCTCCATCGCGGTGATAAACGAGGCATCACTGCTACAGTCCGAGCTTTCGGTGGCCACAGGGCTCTGGGGCTGGACAGCCACCTCCACAGCCTCCATCACCAGCTCGGCTCTGCGTCTGTGCAACTCTGAGTCCTCAGAGACTCCAGGAGACCCTGCTAAGACAGGTCCTTGGCATGTGTCGGTTTCAAGGCTACCCTGGGCTACATGAAACCTCGCTAAATACAAATAAACATGTATAAATGTATGGATAAATAAGTGATCAGATAAAACAGATATAAACAGATACGATATAGACACGATAAATGAGATAGGTGATCGATGATTGACAGTCGACAAGATAGTTACGAGAGCAGTAAGATAGACCATGGACAGTGATTGGCATGATAGATGTACATACAGAACTGAACCCAGCAGTGTGGTAGCCCGGTACACCCCCTTAGCTCCTCTCACCTGTGGGCTCCGAGGTCTCATCTGGCTTCCGGGTGGGCGTGTCCAGCTCCCGCAGCACTCGGACACAGTTGTGGTGTTGCTGCTGTAGTGCCCAGTCCAAGGGCCTGAGCCCGTCCTGTGCAGTCACTGTCAGCAGGGGGCGCCCTCAGTCCACCCTCCTGCCACCCATGTGTGCCTGCGCGGAGTACTGACCTGGTCCCGCAGTGTGGGGTCACCCCCTTGGCTCAGCAGCAACTCCAGGGCACCTTGACAGCCCCACGCGGCAGCCACGTGCACGGGCGTCAGCGCCTCCGCGGACCTGGGACCCCCAAAGACAGAGGAGAGGTGTGCGGTGTTGGTTCCTTTCCTAGGAAGTCTCGTATAGCCCAGGCTAGCCTTGAACTACTGCTCCTCCTGCCTCAGCCTCCCCCCGTGCTGGGATGACAGGTGCCCACTACCATGTTCGGGTTCTTGGGGGTGAGGAGAAAGTTGAGACTCTAACTCACGGTCATCCTCCTGCCTCAAACTCCGGAGTGCCTGAATGACAGGTATTCGACACCTTGTCCCCGACCTTGGAAACAGACATCTCCATCTCCTAGACCAGGCGCCAAGGACGCGGCAGCCTGACGCCCAGCGCCTCAGGGTCCCAGCGTCACACCCACCGCACCCAGTGACCCGGGCCGCGCCTCACCGAACATTGGGGTCCCCGCCCCAGCGCAGCAGCATCCGAAGGCAGTGCAGGGCGCGCGGGTGGCTCGCTCTGGCCGCCAGGTGCACCGCCGCCGCGCCATCATCTAGCACCAGGTTGGGGTCCGCCCCGAGGTGCAGCAGCTCCTCCACAGCCCTGCAGGAGGACGAGCACAGTAGACGCCAGCCCTCCTGGCCACCCGGGGAGCAGAAGGTCGGGAGGAACCCGGACCCAGCCGCCCTTACCGCGCCTCCTCGTCGCGTAGTGCTGCTAGCAGCTGCAGGGCCAGGCAAGCGGCATCGGCCATGTCCCATAAGAGTCACCGCCCTCTGCAATTCAAATTCGCGCGGCAACCGTCTACGCACGCGCAGCCCCGCCCGTCTCTGCTTCTGGCTCCGCCCCCACGCCGACAGGGATTAACAGGCTGCACCCTGAGCCCAGGTTACGAGAGAGCAGTTGTCCGGAGCAAACCAGAGGGACTCCAGGGTTTGGTGAGCACATCTGGGATGCCAGGAGGATTACAGCAAATTCCAGTGGAGCTGGGGATAAAGAGCGGAGCCTCTCTTTGTCCTTTTTATTTTTTTAAGGTTTATTATTTATTTATATGAGTACACTGTAGCTGTCTTCAGACACACCAGAAGAGGACATCAGATCCCATCACAGATCGTTGTGAGCCACCATGTGGTTACTGGAAATTGAACTTAGGACCTCTGGAAGAGCAATCAGTGCTCTTAACCGCTGAGCCATGTCTTTAACAAAACAAACTCCTAGGTATCCCTGACAGCTCAAGCTGTTCAAGAACTTACCATCATCCCGCCGTAGGCGACCGCTTACTGGGATCTGACTTCTGAGGAACAGCATGGGACATTTTCAATCCAGCAGAGTTGGATGTAGCCTTGTGGAGAAGAGCTTTGAGAAGGCCAGTGAGATGGTCAAGACGCTTGCCGCCAAGTCTAGTGACCTGGGTTCAATACCCAGGACCACCCACTGGAAAGAGGGAACAGGTTGACATCCACATGTGTGCCTGGGCTGCGAGTCTGCACAAGCACACATGCATGCACACACACATTAATTAATTAATTAATTAATTAATTATTTAATTAATTAAAATATATATAAAGAGCTTTATTTTCCTTGTTTGCAAATGGGAGGGCAGGGCTCAACACTAAGTGCCCAGTAAATGCAGAGGCCAGAAAGCACTTAGTGGAGCTGACCTACTTTTTAAAATTAACTAACTAAAGTGTGTGGGTGTTTCGCCTGCATGTTTGTGTTCCACATGTGCCTGGTGCCCATGGAGACCAGAAAGGGAGCTTCGGATCCCTGGAAAGTGGAATTGAGCCCCCTGTGGGAGCTGAACCTGGGTGGTGCAAGAACATCTTGTGCTTTTAATGACAGAGTCACCAAAGGCCCCTGGCCTATTTTCTATACTCCGTTTGATGCAGTGCTTCCCTAGGCGGCCCCTGCTAACCTAGGACGGGTGTCCTCCTGTCTCAGCTCCTGTATCAATGTGAGCCCAACTCCCACCCACTGCCATTTTGTTTTCTATGAATGGAGAAGATGGAGAGGATGTAATGCTGGCTTGACCTGGGGTTGTGGGGCTCCTGGGTTTCCCTTCCTCTTCTAGGGTGCATACCCTATGTCCCTATCCTGGCCTAGGACATCAGGACTCCAAAACCCAGGCAATGACTGCTCATAGTGAGGCCACATGGCTACACAAGTTCAATCAGATCAGGGCACTGAGATTGTGTGTGACAGGTGTCACCCAAACCCACTTTCCACTTGGAGCTGGGACTCTTGTGTATCTAGGAGGTCCCAAATATGGCAGCCATACCAGTTCCACCTACAATAGATCTTCCCCGTTTCGGGAGGACTTTCTGGAGAAAAGGACATCTGGAGTGGGTTCTGAAGGGTGAAGAGGAATTTGGAGAGTCCAGTGAACACCAGCCTGAGGGCTACTCAGATAAGCCTGAAGCCACACACTACTGCTTTGTTCAGTTTGTTTTCTATGACTCATGAACAACTTGTTTCTCAGTGGAACCAAAGTGACACCAAGGGCAGGCTCAGGGCCTCAGATTTTTATTCCTGTGACAAAAATGGTTCCAGAAAGAATGAACTGACAGTGGACAAAGTGGAATTGAGCGAGGGCCAGTAATGAGGGTGTGGAGATGTCACAGGTCACACAGTAGCTTCCCCCTCGCCGGCCTCCTCCTCCTCCTCCAGTAGGCTGTAGCTCGCATGGGTCTGGCAGGGCCTTTGCAGCGGGTGGGCCAGCAGCTTGGCCATGCAGTTGTGCAGCTCCAGGGCAGGGCCAGTGAGTGCTACTTCATACTTGTAGCTGGTGCCCTTGGTGTCCAGGCTGCCCATGAAGGCAAACATGTCCTGTGGGAGGCAGTCGGAGCTGTTTAGGGTGAGCATTAGGTAGCCCTTACAGGCCTTCCCTGTCCCTGGAAGCCTTCCCAGAGGAAGGGTCATCTAGAGTGGGTTCTGAGGGGGTAAAGAAGAGTTGACCAGGCCACAAACTATTGCAGTCTGTCACCGTTCCCTGACACCAACCAAGCAGCAGGACCCAAGAGGTCATTCCAGCACTCTACAAGCACACTGTGGTGCCGGGAGGCAGCTCAGTGGACACAAACTACCACGGCAAGCTCAATGCAGCAGGATGCATTGAAGCCAGAGGCACTCCCAATGCAGGGTGGAAGGGTCCTGAAGTCAGAGGCCAGCCAGGGCAGCTGGAGTACAAGAGACCCTGCTTCAAGCCAGAGGGGAGGTCAAGGGCAGCTCCCCACAGGAGGACTCTTCTCTGGGTTAGTGTTTTCTCTTTTCTCAAACAAGGGCTCACTCTGTAGCCCAGGCTAGCCTCTTATGTATCAGTTTCCTGAGATTGAAACATTCCATCCTGGAGAAAAGCTTCTGGAGCAGGAAGCCTCAGAAGTCCCTAGAACTGAGCAGATGCACTAGTCCCCTCCTTGGCAGAGTAAGGGAAATCTCTGAGACTAGTGAACAGCTGCAAAGATGGTGAGACCAGACCAGAAGCCTGGCAGCTTTCCAGTGGAGCCACTTAGACAGGACACCCTCACATCACAGTCCCTGCCTCAGCCTTTCAGGTGTTTCACTCAAGGTGAGGGACTGGAGTCACGGTGTGGTCACCTGCCTGGGCTGAGAAGTGTGGAGGTCAGACGGCAACGTTGAGGAGTCAGGTCTCCTCCCATCATGCCATCCTGGTTTTAAACTCAGGTCCTCACAGTCACGTAAACAACCTCACAGACTTGAGACCCCTCCCACTCAAGGCCACACAGCAAGTTCATAGGTGAAGAAACAACCTGGGAGGGGTGAAGGAGGAGGGTACAGCTGGGTAACGTCAAGAATAGGGCGGGGTGCTAGGGATGGTGTGGCCGGGCTGAGCCTGCTCCCTGGGCTGCCAGAGCAGTGGCCTCCCAAGTCCTCCCACCAGCTCAAAGTGGAAATGTAAGGAACGGTTGTTAAATGGCTGAATGACCAGCTAAATGGCAGAGAGAGGCAAGCCCAAGGCAGATGTCCAAAGATGCCAAGATGTCCCCTCCGTTCTCCGTGGGGACATCTCACCTTCCAGCTCGTGTCGTCCTCCTTCTCCTCGGTGCCATTGTGGATGTAAATGATGTCAAAGAAGAAGTAGGGACATTGGAACATCTTCTGCAGTGGATAAGAGGGAGGTGGGTGAGCTCTCACCCAGCCTCTGTGATCCTGACCCGTCCCCTTCAATGTCTAACCACTGCCCTCCCTCCCTTCCCTCCAGGCTCACCTTCATAGGCTCAGTCAGGGAGAACGGGGGCTGGCAGGGTGGGCGGCTGTAGACCAGGATAGTACGCACGACGTAGGGGGGTGGGATGGTCTGCACATTCTCTGTGGCTGGCAGCTCAGTCTTCTGCTGGCTACAGAATGGGGAGGACTCGGTACCCAGCTGCCATCCACCCTGGCCCGGACCCCTCTCCCAGCAGCTGGAGCTGCCCACATGGGGGCCTGTATGTGACATTAGCACCCCCATCTCAGCCAAGTTCCTCAGGCCAAGATCCTAGGGGCACTGCATGCTAAACAAAAGTCAGAGCGGGGAAACGGGGCTGAAGGCACCTGCAGCCAAGCCTGGGGACTTGAGCTAACGCCGGGTCCCCCAGCACAAGCAGAGCAGTCCCATAAATCGCCCTCTGACCTCCACACATGCATCATGACACACACACACAAAGTAAATGCATAATGAAAAAACTTAGAAGACTTCCTTAAAGTATTCTCAAAGGAAAAACAAATTCAAGCTTCCTGGCTAGACATAGGTCTTATCCCAAAGCCCGCCCCCTGGACAGCCTTAAGTGGCTGTCAGCACCTTGGTGGGAAAGGAACCCAGGGCCATGCCCCACTGTGGACGAGCACTCACATGAGGCTGAAGAGGCCTTCCAAATCTGGGAGGATGTTAAGGACGAGGTGCCAGCTTGGAGGCAGGGGATTCCCTGACCTAGACCTTGGAAGATGATGGGCACCTCTGGGTACAGCCTGTGTGACCCTGGGTACCAACAGCCTGTGGGAGCCCACCCCACCTTGCACCTCTCTAAACCTGCTTCTTCTCACACACCACAAAGTGGGATGCTGGCCTCACCTCCCTGGAGGCCCACTGGGGCTCCACTGTCCTGCCACATCTCTGCTTCCTTAATTCAGGTGGTGGGGGAGGGGAGGCATCTGCACATTAGGGCCAACAGGATGAAAGGCAGTGTGACTTTTAGGGCAAATATCACCATTAAGAGGGCACCAACTGTATACTGGCCCTCCAGTGGCATGCTCCCTGAGTGCATTTGCTACAGGCTCAGTCACACTCCTGACACCTGTACCACCACCATACAGGAACCCAGCAACAGAGCCTGGTTCTGGCTGGCTTACGGGTTTGGCATCCTGTAACAGGCAGCATTCTGTTGTTGCCCTTTTCTTGTTATTGCTGCTGATTTTGTGTTTTAGAAAGAGTCTAAATTTGTAGCTAAGGCTGGCCTGGAACTTCCAATCCTCTTGCCTCAGCTTTCCGAGTTCTAGGCTGACACTCCTGCACCCCAGCACCTCCCCGTGGTGGGGTTTGAATGTGACTCCACCTAGAATGTCATACATGGGATACTCCATTTGTGATCTCACTGGACAAAGTCCCCCAGTTTGCTGAGAATTTAGGCTCAGTTGCTAGGGTACTTGTAGCTTAGTTGCTCGAGTGCTTGTACCTCAGTTACTAGAGCAATAGCTCAGCACACATGCAGGTATCGTGTACTCGATGTGCTTAGCACACAGTCATTCCAACATTTTAGGATGTGGAGGCAGACGAATGGAAGCTCATGCTACACTGTGAACTCAAGGCCAGCCTCAGCTACGTGAGAATTAGTCTCAAAAATATGCTAATTATGCCGGGCGGTGGTGGTGCACGCCTTTAATCCCAGCACTTGGGAGGCAGAGGCAGGAGGATTTCTGAGTTCGAGGCCAGCCTGGTCTACAGAGTGAGTTCCAGGACAGCCTGGGCTACACAGAGAAACCCTGTCTCGAAAAACCAAAAAAAACAAAAAAACAAAAAAAAAATATGCTAATTACATATTTGATGTGAGGCTGTGGCACATGACTTTAACCCCAGCACTTGGGAGGCAGAGGCAGATGGATCTCTGTGAGTCTGAAGCTAGCCTGGTCCAGAGTGAGTTCCGAGACAGCTGCATAATGAGAGAAACCCTATCTCAATAAATAAATATTGAAAAATAAAGAATTACAGAGCAGGGCTAGAGACATGGCTCAGTGGCTAAGAGCACTGGCTGCTCTTCCACAGGTCCTGAGTTCAATTCTCAGCACCCACATAAGGGTTCAAAACCATCTATACTTGGTATGCAGGTGTACATGCAGATAGAGCACTCATATACATGAGAAAGAGGGAGGAGAGAGAGAGGGAGAAGGAGAGAGAGGGGGAAGGAGAGAGGGAGGGGGAGAAAGAGAGAGAGAGAGAGAGAATGGGAGTTATGGTTCTGAAGCATTGCCATGCTACTCTCAGGAAGACACTGATTCTGGGGTCTGAATTTTTCTGGGTTTTGGATGCACAGCTTGGGCTGTGTTGTAGGGACCCCACAGTGTCACTGAAGCAGGGCTGGGGACAGCGACAAGGATACTGAAAGTGGAGCACGACGCAGTCTCCAGGTCGTACAGGCAGCTGCAGAGCTCACGTGGGTCCGAGGTCAGGCCAGACAGCTGTGGGGACAGCAGGACTTCAGTGCTGGGGCTCCCAGTCCTGCGGTCCCTCGGGGTCCCTGTCACTCCCAGCTCACCCAGGCGGAGTCGTCATTCACTACGACCAGTGCAAACTCGTGCCTCTTGTCAACCTTGTGCTTTGTGCGCACGAACATCTCAACCATCTTCTGAGACACATTCAGGGCGTTTGTCCTAGAACTGAGAGGGAAGGCACGTGACAGAGGTCAGATAATGCAGCAGGGTGCTGACAGCCAGGTGTGACAGTGTTAGTTGTCAACTAGACACCATCTGGCATTAACTAAAACCCAATTGGCTAGGCACACCTGTGAGGGACTTTTTTTTTTTTTTTGGTTTTTCGAGACAAGGTTTCTCTGTATAGCCCTGGCTGTCCTAGAACTCACTCTGTAGACCAGGCTGGCCTCGAACTCAGAAATCTGCCTGCCTCTGCCTCCCAAGTGCTGGGATTAAAGGCGTGTGCCACCACTGCCCCGGCTTAGTCTGGATCTCTGATGTGGGAAGATCCACCTTTAATCTGGCCCTCTGCCTGCAGCCTCAGTAAAGGACAGGAGAGAAGGGACACTTTGCTGGCTTGCCCTTGCTCTGCTCTGTCTAGCAAGTCTACCCCTTCACTGGCGTCAGAGCCGACCTCTGTAGGATTGTGGTGCATGCTAAGGAGCAGCTGAGACATCCAGTCTCATGGACTGAACAACGGGTGGATTGTGGGATCTTCCCTGGCAGACAGCCATTGGTGGACCAGATGGACCACAGCCTGAGAGCCGCCCTAAGAAGTCTCTTTCCTATACAGAACACCAATTCACACCAGGTTAGCCTCAAACTCACTGTGTAGTGTGGTCTAGCCTCAGACATGCTGTAGAGCCCAAGCTGCACTGCCAAGGTGGACCTTGAATTCCTGACTCCCCATCTCTGCCTCCCAGTGTTATGATGGCAGGTGTGTGCCACTGGCTCCTGAGCCAAGGCCAGTCCAGATGTAACGTCTACTACCCCAGCTGCCATGGGCACACAAAGCTTCAGGAGATACACAGTGGCCTACCCCACCAATTTGAGGCCAGCTGGGGTCATACATGTGGACTGAAGCCTAGGACACAACCCTGGAAGTGTCAGTGTCATGACACCTGGATGACCCTATGCATTCTGAGTTGCCTACGTCCAAACTCAATGCCACAGTACCCATTAAAGGACTCCAGCTTTGGCACAGACATCTCCTCCGAAAGATCCAGACAGATGATCTGAAACATAAAGAGAAGACAGAGACTACAGGACCAAACCAGACAGCCATTACAGCTTGGGAGGGACCTAGCCTGTAGCGCTCGAGGAGTTGGGGGGTGTGACTCAGGGGTGGAGCCTCTGCCTAGAATGGAGGGAGAGTCGCTAGTAACACATCTGGAAGTCCAAGTACTACAAAATAAAAAAATAAAAACAAGACTCTAAATTCAGTGACGTTTAAGCTACCAAGTGTGTGATGTTCATGGAACCTGTAGAAAACTAAGGTTGCAACTTAGAGAATCTCATAAGACAAGAGTGGCCTGTCTGAGGGCCTCCATCCCCTCCTTCTCCAGCCAAGACCCCCACATACCACCTTCTCTGGACAGTTGACCCTTGGTGTTCGAATCTGGACCTCAGATGCTGGTGCTGGTACTTGCCAGGGCTTAGGCCCGGCTCCTGGGACACCGGCCGCACCATCATCTGCAGTAGCTGCTTCACCCTCGCCCTCACTGCGGCTGCCCACATTGGCCTGAGCACCCAGGGCCCGGTCCTCAGCCCCCTCAGGATTGGAGCGAGTGTGAGGCCTGGGCTCAGATATCGGTTCCTCTCCTTCTTCTTCCTCCTCTTCTTCCTCCTCCTCGGTGGGGCTGTTGGCCTCAGCTACCTCCATGGTTCCCGAGTGGTTGGATGGAGGGGGGATAGTGGAAGCCAGGATCCTGCCTTAAGAGTTTGTAAAGACATTGGTTACTAGGAAGCCAGAAGCTGGGCATAAGCCCCTTACAGTACAGGAGTCTCTGATGGCTGCAGAAAGCTCTCCTAAGACAGTGTAGCCAGGAACCACCCTCAGGTGAGGTAAGTAACAGCTTTTTCGTTTTCTTTTTTGTTTGTGACAGCTTCATGTGGCCCAGGCTGGGCTCTAACTCTAAAGCTACATGGCTTAGGATGGCCTAGTACTTCTGTATCCACCTCCAAGTGCCGGGAGGGCACCACCGAACATATTTTAGGTGACGCTAGGGATGGATACCCAGGGCAGGCTAGGCAAGATCTCTACCAACTGAGCCACGAGCACTCTACCAACCGAACTGCTGTTCATCCTTTGCTTTCCACTGCTTACACAGGACGAACACTGTACCCCTTCATTGGACCAATAAGCACACCCCAGTTGCCTGGTCACTGGGCATTTGACCCATTGAGGCCTCCAGTGGCTCCCACACCTGGGAGACTTGGTTTGCCGAGCCGAAAAGATACAGTTGAAGCTTCCCAAAGCTCCTTTTTTCCTGAGGCGGCGCCAGTCAGGTCCCTGGGGAAACACAGGAAGCCAAGTCGCCGACCGTGCGATGGATGAGCGTTTCTCGAAGCCCCCCAAGTCCTCAAGCAGAACGAACCTGGAGCTGCAGCAAGCCAGGTCGAAGTTAGACCACGGCAACACAAAGCTCGCGCGCATTCACACAGTCCTAGGTTCTACTCTGTAGCCTGGACACCACGGCTAGTCAATCAGGACTCTAGGAAGCCGCCATCTTCCTGACCGGAAGTTTGTGCGGCGCTGCCCAGACACCTTCTGGGAAATGTAGTTCAGTAGCCCTTAGGACATGGAAGCTGATAGGCTGAGGCGTTCTGGGGGTGCGGCTTGGAGTGAAACGGGCTGGAAAGGAGCTGAAGAAGGGTAGTATCGCGAGTGGGTGTGACCCGTGGTGGACTGAAGCAAGATTGGGCAGAATCTGTAGTTTGGGCTTAGTTCCCAAGGCCTCTGCTGTGATAGGACAGGAGACTGAGCTGGGCGAGGCCGTTTGATGATTGACAGGGTAGGACTTGGCCAAGGGCCCTCTCAGTTACTTATGTGACTTAGGTTGGCATTCATTCCAACCTCGATGCGGACTGGTGGTGCACACCTGTCATCCCAACACTCCAGAGGCCCGAAGACGAAGATCTGGCGTTTAGACCAGCCTGGGCTAAATGAGGCGCTGTGTAAAGACCAAAATGGAAAGCAAAAGAAGCCAGCAGACACACTATAAACAAGCTCATTGTCGCCGGTGGCCCCTACCGCCTGATGCAGCAGTTCAGTCTCATTGAAGAGAAACGTTGTGGGCCATTAAGCAGGTGCATAGTCTTGCCACCAATCCTGAGGACCTGAGTTCGATCTCGGAGACAAGTAGTACCATCACAGACGAAGATGAGTAAAGCAAAGAAATAAAAAATAAAAGCTATGCAAATGCTGGAGCCTACAACTCCTACAGTTTGTTTGTTTGTTTGTTTGTTTGTTTTTGTTTTTAGAAACACAAAATAAAATAAAAACAGACCCTCACATTAGAGCGAGCCCTGGTGAACAGAGGGACACAGAAAATCCAAAATGAAAATGGAAGGACTACAGGTTTGGGCTGGGATAAGGGGATACTGATACCTTGGAGTGAGACAAAGGTCCTGGTCCTCCATCCTCTTCCCGTTCTGGAGGAAGCCAGCATCCTGGAGAAGGAAACGAAACAATAACTGTCCATGTGATCAGGATAGGGGAGCTTCCTGTTTCCCAACCCCTCCCAGGCTACTTTTGGCCATCAAGGCCTCAGTAGCCAGTGGCCAGGATGGCCTGAGATATGCCCAGGAGCTCAGGCCTTTCCCAAGGTGCTCTGGAGAAGCAGAGAAGAGGGCCACAGGGCCAACCCCCAGGGTGAGGGAGTTTGGTGCTAAGAGTCGTGGGAGGAAAGAGGACTCGTAGGGTGCCTACCCAATGCCTCCATAGGGAAGAGGGGGCACAGGTAAGAGAAACGCATTCAGGCAGCTGAGGGGAGAGGAATGTCCAGCAAAGGTGAGGCACAGGAGAGTAGGGGACGAGTAGACAGTGGGCACTACGGGAGGAGAGGTATTCAAATATTTAAATGTGTCAATCAGTGCAGACGACCCAAAACTCCTATTTAAATGTGTCAATCAGTGCAGACGACCCAAAACTCCTACAGGAAAAAAACAAAAAACAAGGATTCCAAGGTGTCGAAGGCAAGAACTGAGAGCAGGCTGTAGTGACAGAGGCCATGAGTGTCCGGGCCACACGGCCCCGAAGCCGTCGAGGGAGACACCCTTTGCCTGTAAGTGTGCCCCTCTTCCTGCTACACCCAGTCCCATGGATCCTGGGATCCCAGGCCTGCCTGGCTCAGAACCTGCTGTGGTGTAGGGGAGTCCTCCACAGAGGGAGCTGGCTGTGACGGCCCAGAGCCTGTGTGTGGGGACTGAGGGGTTATTCACAGGGGGAGCTGGACCCTGTAGCTGAGAGCTCAGAGGAAGTAGATGCCACCAATGGAAGCTTCGAGACTAGCCCTGAGCTGCTGCTTCAGGAACACCTTGGCCCTGGCCTACAGGGCCCCAGGAACTGGTAGGATGACTTTAGTATGAACCCTGTATTCCAGCCCGAAGCCACATAGAGCTGCCTCCTGCCACTCACCTGCCATTGCCTCTGCTGCTCGCCTCACTCCTCTTCCTGTTTATCCTCCAGCTGCTTATTCCCTGCTCAGCCTTCCTAGGGACACTGGGGTTAGCCCTCCGGGCCTCTGCTGAGCCTCAGGTGGCTGGGATTCCCTGACTATCTTTACAGGACCAAGGAGGATTGTGATGTAGGATCCCATGGGGTCCTACCCTTGAGCCTGGAAGAACAGTGTGAGCCTGAGGTGGAAGACCACCAGGCCCTGCAAGAAGCCCCCCTGGGTACTGGTCCTGCTGAGATATCAGCAGCCAATGTGTATGAGACCTTGCAGTGCAGGCTGAGCTCCCTTGAGGCAATTGTAGCTGCCTGGCGCCACCGCTCGCTAAGTGTTCAAAAGCCAGTGGAAGCAGAAGACAGAGACCAGGGGGCTCTGGGGTCCTTTGGTGGTGAGGAAGAAGCCTCTGGACCTGGACGGCAGGAGGCAGCTTGCCTCATAGAGAGGAACGCCTGGCTGCGGCAGGCCCTGAGCAGCCGGGAGGAGGAGCTGGCCTGCACTCAGGCCTCACTGCAGGACGCCCAGGCAGAGAAGCAGACTCTGCAGAGACAGGTGAGCTGGTGACTGAAGACAAGGCGGACCCTGCCGTGGGAGTAGACACAGTGATGTAGAGCAGTGACAGATGTACCAAGGAAGAGGGACAATCTCTACTCAGGTGAGCCCCAGCTAAGACTAACATTGTTCTCAGCTGTCGACTGAGTCCAAGACTAGCCTGGGCTACAGACCCTGTGTCAGTTGCACTGCACACACACACACACACACACACACACACACACAGAGGATTATCTTGGGTGGTACATTTTTGCTTTTTTGTTTTTTTCCGATACAAGGTTTCTCTGTGTAACATAGTCCTAGCTGTCCTGAACTTACTTTGTAGATCAGGTTGGCCTCAAAATCACAGAGATCCACCTACCTCTGCTTCTCCAGTACTGGGATTAAAGGTGTGAGCTATGCTGGACTTGTTTTAGGGTTTCTATTGCTATGGTAAAACACCACAACCAAAAGTAATTGAGAAGGAAGAGATTGATTTCATCTTAAAACTCTGAGACCACACTCCATCACTGAAGGGAGCTCAGGCAGGAACCTGGAGGCAGAGCTGATACAGAGGTCATGGAGGATGCTGCTTACTGGCTTGCTCCCCATGGCTTGCTCAGCCTGCTTTCTTACCAGGACCAACAGCCCAGGGATGGCCCCACCCACAACGGGCTAGCCCCTTCCTCCCCATCAATCGTCAATCAGAAAAATGTCCACAGATCCATTGGGAGGAGCATTTTCTCAACTGTAAGCCGGGCAGTGGTGGTGCACACCTTTAATCCCAGCACTTGGAAGGCAGAGGCAGGCGGATTTCCGAGTTCGAGGCCAGCATGGTCTACAGAGTGAGTTCCAGGACAGCCAGGACTACACAGAGAAACCCTGTCTTGAAAAACCAACCCCCACCACCAAAAAAAAAAATTCATTTTCTCAATTGTGGTTCCTCTTCCAAAATGACTCCTGCTGATGTCAAGTCACAGGAACCAGCACAAATCCTGAGATCACTGCAGCTGGAGCAGAGTCGGGAGACAGAGGCACGTGAGAAGGCCACCGTGTGCAGGGTGTTGAAAGCTGGTGTGCTCTTGTGTGTGGTGGGTTCTGAGGGGAACTGACCTGCTGCAGGTGTTCACTTGTTGACATCTGATGACTGTGAGAGGAACAATCTGGCAGTGGACCATAATCCTGAAGGTGACTGAGGGGTGAAGTGGCCCAGGGCGTTTAGTGGAGGTGACCAGAAACCTATAGATCATGGGTGGGACAAGCCTGTAGTGATCAGGACTTCAGAGGCTCAGATGAGAGGATCATAATTTAGCACTAGCTTTGACTAGATAGGCAAAACAGAACTAGGGCAAGTAGGGATACGGAGCCCTACCTGGCTCTGCGAAGAATCCGCCAGTCAGGGCTGTGGGCGTGGCTCAGGGGGGTAGAGTGACAGCCTAGAATCCTCCAATGATGGGCTAGGGGCGTGGCTTAGCACTTGGCTTTCAGAAACTTCTCACAACAACAAAGATGAATTCTCCTGAGTGTAGTGGTGCACACTTGAAATCACAGCTGCTTGGGAGGCTGAAGTGGGGGGTAGCTTGAGTTTGGAAGATATAAATGACTCCGGGAAACAGTATCCTAAAAATTTAGAAAGGAATAAATTGGATGGCTGGAGAGTTGGCTCAGCAGTTAAGAGCACTGGCTGCTCTTCCGGAAGACCCGTGTTTGATTCCAAGCATTCACGTGGCAGCTCACAACTGTCTGTAACTCCAGTTCCAAGCGACCTGACACCCTCACACAGACATACATGCAGAGAAAACGCCAATGCATATAAAATAATAAAAATAAATTCTAAAATAATTAAATCGTGGTAATCGTCCTGCCTCCATCACCCTGGCAGTACCTGCACTCTCCTGGTTAGGCCTTGAGTGATGAGTGCTCTCTGGCAGCTGGAGACCGTCCCAGGCCACACTGACAAGGCTGCTGTTGCTGTAGAGAACTGGTTGACAACGTGAAGTCATGGCCTGATCCCTATCACTGGCAGGTACAGGAGCTGGAGGATTCCCTGATGCAGCTGGAGGCCTCCCCACCTCCCTCCATCCTCGGAGCAGGGCACAGAAACAGCAACTCCAGCAGTTCTGGTGCAGAAAGGAGACCCTGGGCGCCTCAGGTAAGCCTAAAGCTTTCTGAGTCCAAGTCATGATGTTCCCTGCTTTCCCAGTATGAGGGGTAAATGTCAATTTGTGCTTTATGGGATCCTATAATGTTGTGTGACAAAACTTTTCCTGGGGAGATACTACACAGATCAACTGACCACAGATAGGGGGTCCATGACACATCAAAGTATGGACATCACCAAAGTCCAACTAGGTGAGCCAATGAGTTTTATTGGGGTGAAAAATAGGATTATGGGTAGATATTATGAATATAAATATGGGTACATATAGGATTGTAGTTACATACAGGTTGATGGGCAGAAATGATTCAAAGACAGTTGCATCACCAAAGCCTGAGTGACAGCATGAGTGACAACTCAGAAAAGCTGGGGACCTGAAGCTCACTACAAACCCTGCAGGTTGAGGATTGTCCCTCCTTAGTGACTCTGGTCTAAACCTCCTCCAGACAGCTGGTCTGGTCTTAGGGTCTTCTTTGTTCACTTGTTTGTTAACTAATCTCAGAAGGATTTTCCTTACCATGGCAGGGAGAGGCCTAGTCTATCTGTTCAGTTTCAGGAACTTCCTGAAACTATTTGGAGTTATTTACCTTCCTGCTGCAGGAACAGCTCTGCAGGATGGAATGTCTCTATCTTGGAGGGAAACTGTCAATACAACCTATAGTATCTGAAAGAACTAAACAGGACTTGGAGACATGACTCAATGGTTAGGGGTGCTAGCTGCTCTCACAGTGTTCTCAGGTTCAGTTCTCTGCACCCACATGGTGGCTCACAGTCATCTGTAACTCTGGTTCCAGGAGATCTGATGCCTTCTTCAGGGCTCCACAGGCACTAGGCATCCCTGTGCACAGACAAACGTGCAGGCAAACACCCATACACAGAAAATTAAAAGACAAAAGCTTAAATCACCAGCTTGGTAGCTCAGAGCAGTCACCCTACAGTCACTCCAACTGCTTAAGAGCCAAGACAGAAGGAACATGACCAGTGAATGTGGCATATTCTCTGTCTCCATATTAAAGAAAAAAATAAAATCATTGGTGAGATGCCTCAGCTTCTTGGGACAACTGCTGCCAAGTCTGCTGATTTAGGTTCAATCCCTGAGCCCCAAAAGGAGAGAACTGACTCCAATATGTTGTCCCCTGACATCCATTCACATGTCATGGTACACACACACACACACACACACGCATACATCCCACACGTGTGTATAATGATACCCTCCCCAAAACAAACCAAAGATTCAGTAGTGAAACAGATGGGTAATAGGACCCAAGTGGCCCTGGTTCCGCCCCAGCCCTGCAAAAAGGGGAGAAAACCACCTCTGGGGTAGGGCTTTTGATGTCAGATTAATCAAGTCATGTCTTCCTGGCAGGACTCCCCCATGGCTCACCCCCTTCTCCAACGTCTCCGGAGTGATTCCAGCACCCAGAGCTTTGGGTGCCTTTCCACACAGCATCCAGCCCCAGAGATGTACCTCCTGGAAGACCAGATGGGGCAGCTCCAGGGGTGAGAAGCTGAGTTACAGCTGCTGAGCTTTTAAGGACACCATTGCTCCTGCCACTGGGTTGTGATGGGGAGGGGGAGAAAACAGCTCTGAGGGATTGGGGTCTCACTTACCTTCCCTGTTGCCCACCTTTGGAAGCAGGAACATTGAGAAGTTGAAGTGCTTCAATCGCCTCCTTCTGGCTGTGCTTCAGGGCTACAAGGGCCGCTGTGAGAGCCTCAGCATTAAGCTGGGCAAGCGGGAGGCTGAGGCCACAGCCCTGTGCCTGGCTCTGCAGTATAGGTCTGTGCCTTCTCTCACTGATGGTGGTGGCTGGGGGTGGGGTGGTGCTGCAAGCCAGGATGGCCCTATGTACAGAGGGACACAGGACCTTCAAAAGATACATTACCTCACTATGACATGTTACTCTGACCCATAAAGAATGACCGGTGGGAGGTGTCTTTTGTGGTTTGTTGTATACTGTTTGAGACAGTCTCACTGTGTAGCCTAGGCTGGCCTTGAACTCACAGAGATCGGCCTGGCTCTGCCTGGGTTGGGGCTGAGTGTTGAAACATTTAAATCCTATCCCACAGTGAGGACTGTGAGGAGGTGTATGAGGTAATGCTTGCTCTGAAGACAGCTGGCCTAGGAACTGGAGTTGAAGCTACCAAGGGAGCCCTGCAGGCTGCTGAGAAGGAGGCCTCTAGACTACTGGCGAAGAAGGACACAGCCGTGGATATAGAGACACCCCAGCCCAGGTACCTGAGGATGCACAAGAGTTGCTGGTCCATGAGAGTGCTGGGGGCATGTCCCAGAGCCTGCTGTACATAGGGCTTTGGTGTCAGGGTCATCGGTCACTGCCCAGGGTTGGGTCTGAGCCAATCATCTTTGGCTGATACAAGGACTGACTGGAGTAGGTTAGTAAGTGGTACCAGGTGTGGTAACAGTCTTTGATCTCAGCACTCAGGAGACAGAGTAGTTCCAGGCTAGCCCACACAGTGTGATCCTGTCTGAAATAAATACAACACCAAACACACAAATACACAAAGCATCAAGTAATGTAGACCCTGGTTTCAGCCTCTAAAGCTGGGCAAAAAAAAAATCAGTGAAGAGAAGTTTATTAGATTATTATTAAGTTTTGGCTCATGACTTCAGAGGTATTAATCCATCACGGCAGCCAGGAAGTAGAGAGGGTGGGTACAGGAAGTGGCCAGGGCTTCACATAGCCCCAAAGGAAGGTGGTACTGCTGACAACCTGTGTAAACCTGACAAGATTATCACTGCACTTGTAAGGAGTGTCCATGCCAGTGGCTGTGAGCTCCTGGTTTTGTCTCTGCACAGAGCGTCTTCACTGTCAGTGCAGCCTTGGTGTGCAGTGTGAGCTGGGACCGCCTCAGAAGTAAATTCAAATTCCCCTAGTGATGGAGTTACCACCAAGGCTCACTGCCTTGCTGCATATCTGAAGGTGGCCTTGAACTCCTGACCCTCCTGCCTCCATCTCCTGGGAGCTGGGATGTTAATAGGGTGCCAGGCAGGAGACCTCATGCCTGCTAGGCAAGCTCTGTGGACTGAGCCACAAGCACTCTCCTGGCTGAGCCCCAGCCATATTATAATGCTGGAAGATTGTCCACTGAGTGTAGGTTGTGCTATGGCTGTGTGCTTCCTAAGGCTGTGCGTTGGGAACAGCCGGTCTGCCTCCTGTCTCTTATAGCCCAGAGGGCAGGAGTGTGGACAAGCCTACACCAGAGGGACTGGCTGCTCGGCTCCATGCCTATGTCCAGCATCTCCGGGAGCGCTGGGCTTTGGTGAAGATCCCCCCAGCACTTGGGCCTGCCACTGCACCCAAGCCGACTATGCCCCATGCAGAAGCAACAGTACAGGCCATTCTGGAGATACAGCCTGGCCCGGCCTTGCCCCAGCTCGAGAAGTCTCAGATCCAGCAGGACCTATCGGCTACTCGGGTAGGAATGTGCTGAGACAGTCACAACACGTACTTGATGTCATTGGAGCTCAGAGGCAAGCAGGGTGTCCCTTAGGTGGGGAGATGGTTTCTTGTATGAAGGAGAATTGGGGGTGAAGTTTTGAAGACTGCATAGGAGCTTGTCCTCCTGATTAGGTTTTCCATAAGATTCTATAAGCTCCCTTTGGTTGCTATGAAATCTCTGACAGGAACAATTTCAGGAAGGAAGGTTTGTTCCTGCTTGGCTGACAGTTCTAGGGTGTGGTCTGTTGTGGCAGGAAGTCATGACTGCCAGAGCCTGAGGCAGCTATCACACTGCCTCTGCAGTTAGGAAGCAGAGAGAGGTACCTGCTTCTGCAGACTTCTTATTCAGCCCACCCCAGCCCAGGGAATACGGGGGTCTCCACCTCTGTTTCCCAAATTTAGACACTCCCTCATAGGCATGTCCACAGGGTTGGAGAGATTTTAGAATCTGTCAGGTTGGTAATCAAGATTAGCTGATTTCCCAACATTCTCTTCCCGTGGGAGATGTTAGGCTGCAGCCAGGGTGAGTTCCTGGGGCTGGGGGCAGGGTGGCTCAGTAGTGCAGCTCTTGCCCAGCACAAGTGAGCACTCCCTTCCTCTCCCATCCCCCAGCACAAGGGGATCATGACTTCACAGCCCTTGGACTGAGCTCCACGGTAAGACCAGGTTCCAAAAATGTATAATAAGCAAAAAATGTAAAAGATACAACAATCGAGCTGGAGGGTAGGCTCAGTGCGAAAGAGGACAGGCTGCTCTTGTATAGGGTCCAGGTTCAGATGCCAGCACCCACATGACTGCAGCTCCAGCTCTGTCGCCCTCTTCTGGCCTCTTCCAGCACTGCACTCATGTTGCAAATCCACATATATGGGCTCTCCATAGCCCTGGCTGTCTGGACCACTCTATGTAGATCTAGCTGGTCTTGAACTCAGAGATTAACCTGTCTCTGCCTCCAGTGAAGAGTATGACCAGCACCATTCTCCCGGTCACAAAACAGATTAAAAAAAAAAAAAGTGAAGTCTGAGAAATTCTAGAAGCTTCCACAAATGTTATTTCTCCTCTGTAGCTTTTACAAGAGGAAGGCCAGGACGCTGGTGAGATTTTGCCAGGCCTCTGGGGGTACTCGGGAAGGGCTCAGTTTCCCCAGCAGCTAACTCTAGTTCCCCTCTGCTCCCTAGGACAGTCTGGCTGACCTGGTGCTGAGGCTGCAGCTAGCGCAGCGGGAGAAGCGCGGGCTGGAGCTGCGGGAAGCAGCGCTGCGGGCCCAGGGCCCTGCCCATCGGCTGCTCCTGCAGCAGCTTCGCTGGGAGCGGGCTCACCTCACGGGCGATGGCAGCAGTGGAGGCAGCAGCGAGGACCCAAGCAGCGACGAAGAGGCCGGGGAGGACAGACTGCAGCACTACCAGGTATGGGTCCTGATGTGTGAGAAAGAATATGTTCTGTGGAGGTGTGTGTGGTGAGGTCTTCCCCCTGAGAGACCAGCCACACACCGGTATAGTATAGAATAGAGTTTATTCAGGGCATGGGGAGGCGAGTTAAGAGTGTAGTAGAGGCAGAGGGTGAGGGTGGGGGAGGGAGGGAGGGAGGGAAGGAGGGAGGAAGAGAGAGAGAGAGAGAGAGAGAGAGAGAGAGAGAGAGAGAGAGAGA